CGTATAAATATACGGTCGTTTGAATTTCATATATACATGTATTATTATGAAATTAAATATAACGGTACAAACTATTTAAGYGGACAAACCCATTTACTCCCCAAATCATTTAAAACAAGTCAAATTATGCAATGTTATTGTCATTTATTGGGTAGCTATAAAATCTAAATTGATGCTTTATCCTAGCTAGTTTTATGAAAAGTTCATGATCTTTTAATTTTTGTGTCAGTTGCATCATTACTTAGTAGTTAGTACCTACTTGTGACTCTGTGACTTTGTGAGTATCAGAATACTGTTTAGTTATAATAGAATTCAATATAACTATTTCAATTGTCAAGTTACAAAAAACCTTGATTAGTTTTTCGTAATTTTAAAAATGTTTAAAAGATTGAAACATAAGACCTTTATTATTTTTCATTGACGATAACTGACGGCAACGTTGCATACCATTATACATAATTCACGGTCTCTTATGTTTTTTATCTGCATTATTAATTTTTTGAACATTTAAAACACAAAAAAAAAAAAAAACGATAAATTGTCGATAAATTTTCGATTACAATTAAGAATTTATTGTAGGTATGTAGTTGTGGACTGTGTGTAATATTATGTGGGAATATAATATCCAAATAAAACCTGGATAAAATATTAAAATATTCAACTACGACCTAATAGAGTTAATCATCAAAAAATAATTTATAAAATCTTCCCTAAACTTCAAAAGTCAAAATTTAAATAAATGAAAATAATTTAAACTAAAATTGACTAATTATGCAAAATGGGGGCGCGAAGACTCTGAATCCAYACCTTCATTTTCTAAAATGTATGATAAAATTTGGGTTTTGTAAAAGAGCTGATGAAAGTTTCATATGATTTAATATTATTATTATAATACATAATAGTAAGACCTAAAATGTATGATAAAATTTGGGTTTTGTAAAAGAGCTGATGAAAGTTTCATATGATTTAATATTATTATTATAATACATAATAGTAAGACGGCGCTTTGTATAGGCAATTTAGGGGCACAAATATATTTTATTTTGTGCAATATTATTTTTGTAAAAAAGAGAATGCCTACAGTGCAACAGCTACACCCGGATGTGTTGTCTCAGCCTTACTAATGTTTAACTTAGAAAAAACCGTTTTCCAGGAGATAGAACCGCTGAGTCTGTAGAGATAGTTATGATTCCTAATTGTTTTACAATATTTTTTCGAGAACATTGTCTGTGAAATAAAATTTTTATTTTTTTGGTATCGYTTATCATTTATACGAAAAAAGTTCTTATTGTTTCAAAAACCATTAATTTTGTATTTTTCATACTTGAATAACTTTTTTTTTTTAGTTTCGATATCGAAAAAATAAAAATCATATTTTACAGAAAAAGTTTTTATGTGGTGAAAATTTCGTTTCTTAGTTATAGCCTTCTCGGTTCTTTCCCGCACAAAACAATTATTACCACATTTACATATTTAGTAAAATGATGGAGATCACTTATGTAGGTGTAGCGTCTTCTTAATATACATATTTTTCAGTGAATAATAGAAGACCATTATGAATTTACCTACCTATGTTTTAATAAATATAAATTATTTAATTATATAAACCCATAAATGTGTTACCCGCGTTTCCATCTAAAATGTACCGATTTTCTCCACCATTGACCATATTTCTACTAAAAAAAATTTCTTTACAATTATAAATTTATAATAATAACATATAATTTACACAGGTCGGTTGRTGTGTAAAAAAAGTAAGTGTCGAAGTAATTTGTTGACCAGTAAAGCATAATATAATTTATATTCTCGTCCTGTTCAGCTGTTATAAATTAAGTTTATTAAAAAAACTTAATTTTTTAAAATATTGAAAACCGATATATTAGTGAAAATATAAATATAAAATTAAAATAACTTGTTTGACAACAACAAAAAAAATACTGTCTTGCACTTGCTCGTTGCCCGATACATGACATATTTATTAAAACTATATTTTTTTTTTTCAAATTTGGCTTAATTAACTAGGTATATAACTTTATGAGTTCAAATTTCGAAATGTAGATAAGTTTGCACAACTATAGGCAATAGTCTTTATGATTAACTTAATAAAAAGTTAAAATAATAATTATATAGGTACTCGCACCATTGTTTTAGTTTCTGAGCAGAACGGTTTAATACATTTTACGATTATCTATTTGGTAAATTTAGAAGAGAGGAATCGAGAAACACCAATAAAAAACCGAAATCATTACACAAAACTAGTCTTTGTCAAAATCGATTTTCTTATTTAAATTTCTTTATCTAATATATTTTACCTCTTTTTGATCTATAAGATATTTAAAAATTGAACCTTTATTAGTTTCATTTCTATTAAAATCGATGGAAAAAAAGCATGCACACTAAAATAATTTATCCATGATTCACGATTTACACGATTCACATAAGCACGAATTTTATTTTTATTTTATTAGAATAAGCCTCGGCAGCAAAGGCCACTGRCTGAAGTAAGATTTTTATTTTATATTTAAATCAAATAATTCTTAAACATRAAATATACAAGCTCAATGTTTTATAGTTAATAGATAATTTTTTTAATTTTAATTTTAATGAACTTAGGTTGGTGTTTATATTTATACTAAAACAAAAATATTTTACTTATTTTGTTATAAAAATAATTTTCTTTGGTATTTGAAACATTAACGTATATTATTATATTTTAATATTTTATATAGGTAGGTACCTAACCTTTAAATATTCTGACATTTAGATTAATTTTATGTCAATACYTACCTATTTATATATTGAATTTATTTAAATTGTTCTTCGGTAAGTTGATACCTAAAGACTTTAAATTCAAAATAAATTACGATTTAAATAACTAGCTTTTATCAGTTGATTTAAAAATAATCTATTAAGTCAATGCAAATTTTAAATTTTTCGTCTTAATGGTTTTATATGCAAGTATTAATAATACAATTTATGCAAAATGAGTGGTTCTTTTGTTGAATATTTTTCTACACAAACAGTTTATAAGTAGATTTTTTTGTAATTTCCTTTTGACATTGCCAAGACGATGTATTACGTCATTTGGCCGGACTGCTTTCATCAATTTTTTATTTAAAAATATCTTTTAAGTTTTAATGATTTGCAACTTAATGCTTGAGCTGCAAGTTTTAATTTTTTTTT